CAGAGCAAAACATTCTGATGAGAACAAGAAGTGGTGCAGTCGTTTCGTCCTGGACTCACATTCTTGGTGCACCACGTACTGGCTGAGAAACTAGTAAGTTGTTTAACCTGTCTGGGTAAGCCACATTTCTCATCTCTTTACTGTTCCTGCTCTACACGTCAGCCATATTGAACACTGCAGTCTTCAAATACACATTGCAAAAAAAGAAAAAACTGTTGTGCTCTTGCCTCTGTGAATTTGCACTGGGTGTTCCCTTTACCTGCAGTAACCCTATTCTCTAAATCCCACCTCTCACCTTCCTATACTTCCTTTCACCTCAGCTCAGACATCACTTCTGTCAGGAAGCTTTCCCTAACCACTTAGCTACTGTGTGCTCCAGGGAAGCTGCATTATCTCCCCGGTAGCAGTTACTACTCTGTCTGTTGACTTCACACCCTCCAGAGCACCGTGTCTTGTTTGTGACTGTACCTAGTACCTCACAGTGCTCAGTAAACGAGGTTTAATATTATCTAAACTTTGTAACCTTTAAAGAGTTGGACACGGAGCTGGCAGGTGGCGTGGTGGTTAAGGGCGCTGGACTCCTACATGGTCAACCATGGTTTGAGACCCGGATCTGGCAGCTTGTTTTCTCACTTTCTCTCTTTCTCTGTCCCTCTCTGGTCAAACTAAAATAAATAAATACATAAATAAATAAAGTTAAATAAAATAATTCTTTAAAAAAAAGAAAAAAGAGTTGGACAAATGCTCAGGGCATTCAAGGAATATTTGTTGAAAGGAGTGGAGTGAGGTGGAATGGGAAAAATCCTGTGGTTTTAATGGTATTTAACAGCAATATCTTAAAAGTCCACAAGATGTCAGTGTTTCCACATGAGAAAAATAATGTGGCCACCTGAATGAAATCTAAAGCATTCCCCCATTGATAGCATAAATTAGAGTTAATATTAATATAGAAACAATAGAGATTGGTTGACTGGTTGAACCGAATAGTTGATCTATACACACGGCACAAAACCTAAGTATACAGTAGACAGTAAACAGTCCCTCCCACCCTACCCTCCCTTATCAACTGCCCTGTTTTGCCCATGCCCAGGATAAATATTTTACTATATACATAAGATAGCTTATATTTTGGGTCATCGGAAAAGTCATGAGGTATTTTTTTTTTCTATGTAAAAATGCACCATGAGTTTTCCGATGACCCAATATATAACTGCATATGTTTTTTACAAACTGGTGTTAACCAGTAGTTATGTCCGATACCACTGCCTTGATTTTTTTTCCCCCCTAGTTAAAATACCTCAGGGTGTTCCATATTAAAACAGTTACCCCAGGGCCAGCAAGTGTTCTGGACTCCCATAAGGCCAACTGCAGTTCGAGTCCCAGACCTGTCAACTTGCTTTCTCACTTTCCCTCTCTCTCTCTGTCTCTCTCTAGTCAAATTAAATAATAATAATAATTGATAAAGATAAGATAAAATCATTCTTTTTTTTTTTTTTGGAGAGGTGTTCGCTACAGGGCACGTGAGCTCACCAGACAGACAGAGAGAGACATCAAGACAGAAAGCGAGAAATCACCCCCCGGGGGGATGGTCACGCCGCAATCCCTTCTCCTCCATTATCCTCTCCGGATCTTGGGCATGAACGCACACGCGCCCGGCGTGAGTTTCAAGCCACCGGGGCCAGTACGCAAACCGCAGTCGACTACGGGGGAGTCTAGCAACATAGCCATTACACTAACTGCTGCTTCCCAAATAAAATCATTCTTAAAAAAAATAATTACCCCACTTAAAAAAAGTCTTCCAGGGACCAGCAGATGGCGTAATGGTTATGTCGCTGGACTCCCATGCAGTCCACTGCCTTTTCAGTCCTGGCTTAAAACTCACACCTGGCATGAGTGCCTGCATGCCCAAAGTCCCAACAAGAGAATGGAGGAGAAGAGATCATGGCGTAGCCAGTGAGGGGGTTATTTCTTGCTTTCTGTCCCTCTCTCTCAGGTGAACACACACACCCTATAGCAAAAATTTCTAACAAAACCCTTCCTTTGTTTAGCTGTACCCTAATGTATTTAACCAATCTCCTATTGATGGGTATTCAGTTGCTTCTAATTCTTACCATTGCAAATATCTCAAATATTTCTCATTTTGCCATGTGCAAATATATTTGTATTTTAAACCCCAATATTTTGATATTGTAAACTAGCTCTTTATTGAGCTTGTACCCATTTACACTGCTACCAATAAAACTCGTGGTTTGGGAAGAAAATGGTGGAATGGTGTTTGGATCTGGGTTATAGATGAGCTCAGTTTTCAGAGTGTCCTTGCTTCTAGACCCTCTCAGAGGATAGTGCTAGGCAATATGGGTACTATGTTAATCCACACATACTTACATTTCTATATTTCTACATGGATCTCTCTATATATTTAAAAGCCAAGTGTTTGTCTCAGAAGCTTATAGAATGGAGGCACAGAACGTCCCAACTCTACTCCAGAAGTAGGTGAACATAGCAATGGGACTAATAGTTCATAGTTCATTTTCTGCCTTCTCTGAAACCCCACCCCAACATTCTCTGGTCACCTCGTTACAAACTACACAAAGCTGGAGTTCTCTGCCCTCCAACCTAACAGCTAGAAGCTCAGGGCCAAGGAGCTCAGGGTCTAGAAGCTCAGGGTTGAGGCAGGGTATCTAGAACCTGATACAAATTTCTGCTTTCTGAGCAAGCCAAAAGAAAGCTATTCTGGGTTGAAATTTTTGTTGGTTTGTTTTACAGTGCGAATTGATTTATTTAAAACAGTTATTTGAAACGCACAACAAAACAAATTATCCTTAAAATTATTAATGCTGGGGCTGGCAAGTGGCATGGTGCTTAAAGGTGCTGGACTCCCACATGGCCGACCACGGTTCAAGTCTCGGACCTGGTGGCTTGCTTTCTCACTTCCTCTCTCTCTCTCTCTGTGTCTCTCTGATCAAACTGGAAAATAATAATAAAGTTAAATAAAATAATTCTAAAAAAAATTATTAATGCTTTAGGAGCTGGCAGATGGTGTAGTGGTTAGGATGCTAGACTCCCACATGGTTGACTGTGGTTTGAATCCCAGACCCAGTGGCTTGAAACACACCAGGCATGTGTGCATGTGTCCCCAAAATCCCTAGAAGAGAATGGAGAAGAACGGATTGTGGCATGGCTACCCCACCCTGGGGGGTGATCTCTCACTTTCTCACTCTCTCTGTCTCTGTGTCTCTGGTGAGCACATGCTCCCAATAACAAAAGTTTCTCTTAAGAAAAATTATTGATGCTTTGTTAAAGAACAGGCCGATAACTTGCATTTCTTTAAGACTATGAGTCAGGGATGGTATTAGGAGTTTTCTACATATTATTTTATCTAATACAAGGAATCATTTTGAATCTTTAATAATGATGAGAAAATTATCAGAGAAGTAAAGGAGTTTGTCCAAATTCACACAGATAGTAAATGCGAGAGTCAAAATTAAAATCCAGGTCTGCTTGAAGGTCAAAATCCATATCCATTCCCCTAAAACAATAAAGTGAGAATAATCCATTCGCTAAATAAATGTGTTGTGTTCCTGTTTTGTTCTATACATTGTTCTGGGTGCTAGTGATACCCAAGTGAAAAAACAAAGTCTCTGTCTCAGGGTACTGATGTTCTACTGGAGACAGATAATAAACAAATATTTGGTACGTCAGGTGGTAGTAAGAGCTGTGAAGAAAAATTAGGCAGAATAAGGATAAGTTGAGTTGCTATTTTAACCAGCCTTGTCAGAAAAAGCTCTGATTACGCGAAGTTTGCTCCTTATGCGAAGTTTGCTCCGACTTAAAGTAAAGGACATGCAGGGGCAAGAGTCAGGACCAGCCCCAGAACTTCCTCCTTTGTCTACCTGAGGGTTCAGTCTGGAAAAGAGGGGGCTGAAGCTGGTGCAGTAGTTAGTGAAAAGTATGGATATACTCAGAGTCGGAAGACCCAAGCTTTAGTTTTAGGTTTATTGAGTCTAAATTCCCTTCACTGAAGAAGGGACTTTTTGTTGTTGCTAGAGCATCAGATGAGAATGCCTGCCCAAGTGAGAGACCTTTGAAAATAACACAACTGGGAAAGCAAGACCGGGAGTCAACACTTAACTGAAACAAAACCTGGTTTTTATTTATTTATTTATTTATTTTGGGGGAGTGTTTTTTTTTTTTTTTTTTTTTTTTTTTTTTTTGCTATAGGGCGCGTGCCCTCGCCAGACAGAGAGAGACACATAGAGACAGAAAGCGAAAAATCACCCCTCAGAGGGGATGGTCACGCCGCAATCTCTTCTCCTCTATTCTCCTCTCGGGATCTTGGGCACGCACGCACACGTGCCCCGCGTGAGTTTTAAGCCACCGGGTCCGGGACGCGAACCGCGGTTCGAATCATCCCAGCTGATAGCCATTACGCTAACTGCTGGTTCCCAACAAAACCTGTTTTAAGAAAACCACAGGAGGGGCCTGCAGGAGGCATGGTGGTTAAGGGCGTTGGACTCCTACATGGCCGACCCTGGTTCGAGTCCTGGACCTGGTGGCCGGTCTTCTCACTTTCCCTTTCTCACGCAATCCTTCTGTTGTAAAATTAAAATAAATAGAGTGAAATCATTAAAATAAATAAATAAAATAAAATACATAAATAAAATCAACGGTACTGGTTACTCTAAACATCTTTTTGAAAAGTCATCCCAGCTGAACAGAGAAATAGGCTAAAAGCACAAGAGTAAGTTTCATAATAACTTCTGCTGAAGATCCCTGTTTAGTTTTCACCCGTCAGAAACTGCGTCGTGTGTTTTAAAGAAACTACAAAAGAGACTCTGGGATTCGAATCTTCCACTGGCACAACCCACCTGGGTATTTCCCTTCTTGCCACGCCCCCTCTCCAGAACTCCATTTCCCAAACGCCCCGGGCCCCTGTAGGCAGCAACCATTGTGACGTGGTCCCACGGCCTTCTGGGAAATGTAGTTTACTGGTTCTCCAGCTGCGGTAAGATCTGGGACCGTGGACTACCACTCCCGTGAGGTAGTGCGCCCTCCCACCCCGTTCGCGGCGTCTTCGAACGCGCCGCGGCAGCCATGTTGGACGTGGCCAGCACAGGGGTCGGCACCAGGGGGTTAGCGAAGCAGCTGTCACGATGCTGGGGTCGCTGGTGTTGAGGAGAACAGCGCTGACGCCGCGGCTCCTCCTCCAGCTGCTCAGGTCCCCATCGCTCCGGAGCCATGGAGGTGCCTTCAGCCGGAGCGTGACCACTGGGGGCCGCGGGGAGCTGCAGTGGCTGAGGGTGGCCGTCGGGGGATTCCCTGGAACATCGCCGGCCTTGCCCTCCGGACGAGGGGCAGCCACCGGGGGGCGCAGAGGAGGACGCACTGAGACCCAGCACTTCGCGGCCGCCACAGCGGAACGCCTCCCTGTCCCCGAAGAAACATTCCCAGAACCGGACAGCTGGAATGGGGTCCCCAGCAGGGCTGGACTGGGCATGTGGGCCCTGGCCGCGGCGCTGGTGGTTCATTGCTATAGCAAGAGCCCGTCCAACAAGGGTAAATATCGGGACAGAAAGGGAGAGGCGGGAGGCATGTCCTCACTCCACAGTTTTGGAGAGTGGGAGGTGCCTATAGGTGTAGACACAGCCTCTGTCTTGGAGGGGCCCAGGCATCGTGTGTGGTCCCAGGGGCAGACTGTTTCACTGTGGAGTGCAATGCACCTGAGTTGTGTAATCTCCCATCGTCTGTCGGCCTATCCCACTTGGGAATCACTTTGTCCATCTGTACAATTGGGGCATTGGACTAAATATAACATCTTTCTATGCTTTACTATTTTTCCTGGTTCAATTCCTCTTTCAAGAGGTCTCCAGGAAACTAGTGTTTCAAGAACTACTGCTAGAAAGTTTAAAGAAGTTGTCTCCTTAAAGTAGCCTCAGAAAAGACTTGATTTCAGTGCCAGCTTGACTCCTTACTCTTCTCTGATGTATTTCCCCACTAATGTGAGGGATAATCTCTAAGTATTCTTACAGTACTGTTGTTCTGACTGTTTTTGGAGTTCAGTAGCCTCCTCCTTTCCATCAGTCTCCCAGGGTTTTGCAATGCCTGGTCTCGGGCATGAAATGGTCTTGCCATGTGGGTCAGTTGGGAGTAGAAGGAAGTTGGATCCTTAGAGACCCAGAGCAACACAGGGATGGCTGAGGATGGAATCCCAGCTGGGTGTGTGGAGCCGAACAAGGACTGGGAGAGTGGACAGAGGCCCTGACTTCTGGCCTGTGTGAGTACAGCCACTCAGGTTCTCAGTTGTTTCTCAAGGGGGAAGACAGGCATGATGCCCATGGATCTCATGCATCCCAAACTCAGATTTTGGAGCTGGAGTGGGAACTTGACTTTCATTCATTTATTCAGCAAGATGTGGTCCATTTTGAACTAGGAATGAGGACATTGGGGATCTTGATTTGCTTCTGTGTCTAACTTTCATTGTGAATTTGAACTCTTGCACCTACCTCCTCATTGGCCCTCAGCCTCCTCATCTACAAAATGAAGATGTTAAAGGTCAGTACTGTGGCCTGGTGGCTAAGGAAACTGGATCCCCCATGGCTGACCATGGAATCACCAGTCCTGACTCCAGCACCTTGAAAAACACTCCAGATGCATGCATACACATGCCCCAAATCCCAATGGGTTGGAGAAATGGAGAATGGGTTGTGGCATGACCATGGTCCAGTGTGGGGAGTATTATCTCTTTCTTTGTGGGGAGCAAGCACACCCTCTGGCAGATTCAAAACAAAACAAATGTGTTGAAATAGACTCTTCTAGCTTTGGCATGCCTCAATTCTATAACTTTCAGCATTTTTGGGGTACTCTGTGTGCTAGTTTTGGGCTAGGTGTGTGGGAAGTTCTAACTTAACACAAAAATCAGTCAAGGGTTGGTGAGAGGTGCCGACTATGTTTTGTGGAGGATCAGAAGCTAGCAGGGTTAGGAAGGCTTTCTAGAAGAATTGGAGACCCTGGAGGATGGTGAATTTATACTTGAGTTTTGAAGAATGAGGCAGGAGATGAACAGGAGAGTGACATTGTAAGCCCCATGAGAGTAGGGAATACATCTTAACTTTTTCAATAAATTGGTATCAGCAGCTTTCCCTAATATCATCACTTTATCTATCAGAGTGTCTGGGATATAGTAGGTACTTAGTAAATGTGTCTTTGTTTTTAATTGCTAGAGGTTATGTGCACTTGCCAGAGAGAGAGAAAGCCCCCCTCCCCCATGGGCTTGGTCACACCACAATCCTTCTGTCCGTCTCACTTTCCTTTCTGGTTTTGGGCATGCATGTACACCCCCCTGCATGTTTTTCAAGCCTTCAGAGTTAAGATTTGAACTGTGGTCAGCCATATAGGATATAGCTCCTTAAGGTTTAAGCCACTAGGCCATGAGTCCAGACCAGTAAATGTGTCTTGAGCTAGATTGTATTCTACACAAAGGTTTCAGGGAACAAAGATACTAGTCACAGTTTAGCATGATGTGTGCAGGGCCAGCTTGATTGGAGGACAGGGTCTTTGGAGTAAGGTAAGAGCAGATGGAGTGATGCCTACATGCCAGTCAGGAAGGCTTAGAATTTTTTCTGTGGGTAATGGAAGGTTCATGAGCAAGGAATGTCTTGAGGTCAGTGAGTTTGGATGAACTGGGGAAAGGTGTCCAAGAACTTGCCAGGTCCCCTGATTTGGATTTTTGAATGGAGGCCCTTAGTGCGATATAGTGTAAATTGAACTCATTAGGAGCCAGGAGGCTCTGGTTCTAATCTCGGCTCTTTCTTCACTCACTGTGTGACCTTCCATAAGCAGCTTTTCTGCAGAGTGGGAGAAGAGTGGACACAGCCATCTCTGAGAAGATAGAGCTGTCTGAGCATGTGCGTGTTTGGAGAACAGCAGGTAAGGAAAGGAGGAAAGACCTGACCCTGGAATCTAAGCCAGGAGATACAGTAGAAATGCCAGTGTCTAAATCATAGTACTGGTTTTCATATCCATGATAGGGTCTTATCCTTGTTGTGCAGATAAGGAAACTGAGGCCAAGAGATTAGGCGAGTTGGCTAGGTCATGAAACAGTGAGCAGCTGAACTGGGACCTAGGTTGATTGCTCCGTGGGCACTTAGTATTGGACATTTTGGACAAAATTGTGCCTCTGCTGTTGCCTTCTGAGTTTTTCCAAGTCAAGCAGTTTTTCTTTTCTATTTTTTTTTTTTGGGTTGTGGCATGACCATGGTCCAGTGTGGGGAGTATTATCTCTTTCTTTGTGGGGAGCAAGCACACCCTCTGGCAGATTCAAAACAAAACAAATGTGTTGAAATAGACTCTTCTAGCTTTGGCATGCCTCAATTCTATAACTTTCAGCATTTTTGGGGTACTCTGTGTGCTAGTTTTGGGCTAGGTGTGTGGGAAGTTCTAACTTAACACAAAAATCAGTCAAGGGTTGGTGAGAGGTGCCGACTATGTTTTGTGGAGGATCAGAAGCTAGCAGGGTTAGGAAGGCTTTCTAGAAGAATTGGAGACCCTGGAGGATGGTGAATTTATACTTGAGTTTTGAAGAATGAGGCAGGAGATGAACAGGAGAGTGACATTGTAAGCCCCATGAGAGTAGGGAATACATCTTAACTTTTTCAATAAATTGGTATCAGCAGCTTTCCCTAATATCATCACTTTATCTATCAGAGTGTCTGGGATATAGTAGGTACTTAGTAAATGTGTCTTTGTTTTTAATTGCTAGAGGTTATGTGCACTTGCCAGAGAGAGAGAAAGCCCCCCTCCCCCATGGGCTTGGTCACACCACAATCCTTCTGTCCGTCTCACTTTCCTTTCTGGTTTTGGGCATGCATGTACACCCCCCTGCATGTTTTTCAAGCCTTCAGAGTTAAGATTTGAACTGTGGTCAGCCATATAGGATATAGCTCCTTAAGGTTTAAGCCACTAGGCCATGAGTCCAGACCAGTAAATGTGTCTTGAGCTAGATTGTATTCTACACAAAGGTTTCAGGGAACAAAGATACTAGTCACAGTTTAGCATGATGTGTGCAGGGCCAGCTTGATTGGAGGACAGGGTCTTTGGAGTAAGGTAAGAGCAGATGGAGTGATGCCTACATGCCAGTCAGGAAGGCTTAGAATTTTTTCTGTGGGTAATGGAAGGTTCATGAGCAAGGAATGTCTTGAGGTCAGTGAGTTTGGATGAACTGGGGAAAGGTGTCCAAGAACTTGCCAGGTCCCCTGATTTGGATTTTTGAATGGAGGCCCTTAGTGCGATATAGTGTAAATTGAACTCATTAGGAGCCAGGAGGCTCTGGTTCTAATCTCGGCTCTTTCTTCACTCACTGTGTGACCTTCCATAAGCAGCTTTTCTGCAGAGTGGGAGAAGAGTGGACACAGCCATCTCTGAGAAGATAGAGCTGTCTGAGCATGTGCGTGTTTGGAGAACAGCAGGTAAGGAAAGGAGGAAAGACCTGACCCTGGAATCTAAGCCAGGAGATACAGTAGAAATGCCAGTGTCTAAATCATAGTACTGGTTTTCATATCCATGATAGGGTCTTATCCTTGTTGTGCAGATAAGGAAACTGAGGCCAAGAGATTAGGCGAGTTGGCTAGGTCATGAAACAGTGAGCAGCTGAACTGGGACCTAGGTTGATTGCTCCGTGGGCACTTAGTATTGGACATTTTGGACAAAATTGTGCCTCTGCTGTTGCCTTCTGAGTTTTTCCAAGTCAAGCAGTTTTTCTTTTCTATTTTTTTTTTTTTTTTTTGGAGAGGCTTTCGCTATAGGGCGCATGCACTCGCCAGACAGACAGAGACATAGAGACAGAAAGTGAGAAATCACCCCCCAGGGGGATGGTCACGCTGCAATCCCTTCTCCTCCATTCTCCTCTCGGGATCTTGGGCATGCACGCACACGCGCCTGGCGTGAGTTTTAAGCCACCGGGTCCGGGACGCGAACCGTGGTCGACTACGTGGGAGTCCAGCGACATAACCATTATGCTAACTGCTGGTTCCCAAGCAGTTTTTCTTTATGGCCATAAGGTGGTGCCAGTAGCCTGCAGGCTGCCTAGGCAAGACCAAGCCAATCTTGGCATTGCATTTCTGCCAAATTTGGTGATTCCTAAGAGATACAGGCCTTCTTCTTTTGGTCTTCTTTGCTGGGCTTGGCACTGGGGAGTTTGCAGATTTTTCATTTATTCCTTGGCATCCTTGTAGGGCCTGCAGGGCAAGGATTATTTTCTCTGCTTTACAGTAGGGAGGCTGTGGTTAAGAGGGAAAGGGGCTGCTACAGTCATATGGTAAGTATGTGGCAAATGGGTTGGAGCTAGGTTTCAGTGACTTCTCGACTCCTTGTTGATGCTCTCCCCATTCTCAGAGGGGCCCACACCCCTGCCGGCTCCTTCCCATTTGGTCCCTCCCTTTGCATTTGACCTGAGACATCAAGAACTGAGCTAAAGAATTAGAGTTGGGGGAGAGTAGGACAAGGGGGATTGGTTAATAATAATGATGATTGTAGCATGAAATGGACAGAACTTTACAGCTTATGAAGACTGAAGGAGTTCACACATTGCTTGTCTACTGTGGGCAAGACATGAAACTAGCACTTTTCCTGCCTCCCCTGCATGGTGAGGGAGTTAAGAGTTTGGGCCCTGTAACACAAAGGTGTGAAACTCAGGCTGTCACAGTGGGCACTGTGTGGGAAGGGCATGGCCATCTTTTTCTTTATCTATTGTGTTTCTCTTGTTAGAATCTGTGCTTTTTTTGAGAGAGAGATTTTTGCTACAGAACGTGTATGCTCAGGGGAGGACTCGCCACAATCCCTTCTCCTCCATTCTCCTCTCAGGATTTTGGGTACACATGTACATGTACCCAGCATGAGGGTTTTTTGTTTTTTTTGGGGGGGGGTTCCTGCTATAGGGTGTGTGCATTTGCCAGAAAGAAAGAGACAGAAAGCGAGAAATCACCCCCCCCCCGGGGGGGATGGCCATGCTACAATCCCTTCTCCTCCATTCACCTCTCGGGATCTTGGGCATGCACCACACGCACCTGGCGTGAGTTTAATCTACCAGATCCGGAACGCAAACCGCAGTCGACTATGTGGGAGTCCAGCGACATAGCCATTACGCTAACTGCTGGTCCCTCCAGCATGAGTTTTAAGTTGGCCAGGTCCAGGACTCTACCCTCGGTCATCTACTCGGGAGTCCAGTGATGTATCCATCACGCCGTCTGCTGGTCCCTAGAGCCCCTGTTTCTGAAATCTTCCACTCCCACTGTCTTACTGGGCCCTCCAGGCAGTCCTGAGGGGAAGGTCCTGGCCAGGCATCTGACCAGTGCCCCTCTCTCTTCAGATGCGGCCCTGATGGAAGCTGCTCGTGCCAACAATGTGCAAGAAGTCAGAAGGTGAGTGTCAAACCCAGGCCTTGCTGTCCCAATAGGAGGGGCTGAGCAGGGTGAGCCCCTTTCCCATGGAGTGACTTTGTCTTGGCAGAAATCCTTACCCTAAACTCAGAGTATCTCCTGTGACTTTCCTAAACTCAGAAGACACCACGCTGTCTCAACCCAGTTCAGCCCCTAGGGATTTTGAGCAAGAAGTCTGACCCCAAACACCTCTGGATCCTTTTGCTGTTTTGTTGTTTATGGGGATATTTTGGAGTCCCCTCCCCATTTTGGGGGTTCTTCTCAGAGTCTTCTAGTTTGTTCCTTTTTCTGTAGAAGTAGCCATATGTATCGGTTGCTGCTTAGACAGGATGTAGGTGCAGCCCATGGAGGGCATGAGAATTTGGGAGGATGACCTTTGTGCCAGAAGGTTTTTCGGGCTAGCAGGGCCTGTCTGAAAGGGCTGAAGTATCCATGCTGGGGCCCTGCCCTGGGCAAATTGCATTTCTCCAGCTTTACTGGCCCAGCTAGTCTCCTGTGAACACTGTCAGGTTGGATTTGAAACTTGTTAGTCAAGGTGGGGCTCACGGAGGCTCATCTTGTTTCCAGGGACAGGACAAAGTCTGTGTTCAGGGCAGGTGCTCGGACCCGCAGCAGGTTCCGGGCAGGGACTCAGACCAGGGCAGCATAGAGCACCAGTTATGGGGCTTCTGGTTATTCTTGATGAAACTGCTGATCCCCACTGGGCCGATCCTTAGCCACCTTTGATTCTTTGGTAGCCATAGGAGCACTCCATGCTTGCCATTATGCTTGCCTTTTAGATAGGAAGTCAGGTATTTGGGCTGGCTCTCCCTGTACCCAGTGCATCGGACCCTTGGTGCTCTTCCCCACTTCAGCTGTGTGACCGTACAAGGAAGCATGGAAAGGCAGCCACAGCCCCACCAAGACTTACTGCTTTGATTCCTTTTCATTTTATCTGCAGCATTATTATTGATTCTCAAGAGTGCTTTTGAGTATTAATGTTCAAGGTTTAGTTTTTAATAAACCACTTTTGGGAAGATGGGCTGAGAGTTGTTTTGTAGCTAAATAAATATGATGGAGCAATAGTTTAATAAACATGCGATGATGCATCTTAAAAACCAAGCACAGATGTCATCTTGGTGTTATAAGAGCCATTCATAACCGCAGACTGTGTGTCATCTTCATTTCCCTAGAAATAGATGAGCCTCACTACATTCTACTGTGATGCAAAGGAGCAGGGGAGCAGAAGCTATCCCCCTGACCTGGGCATCACCTGTTAGTATAGCCAACGACTGCCAGACTGCTGCTTCCCTAGCAAGCCTAGAGTTGGCCACCCATTTGCAGAGCAGCAATGCTCTGAGTCCACCCTGTCCTCAGCAGG